TTAATGTGTTTATACATTAGAGAGGGGGGAAATGATTCCTGCTCTTTGGAGTGTTGTTGAGTGACAAGGGATTTTTATTTATTTATTTATTTAGTGTTCTAAGATTATTGAAGGAGCTGTAGTAACTTGGAAAGGAAAGTATTTTATCAGAACAGAGACTTCCTGATTATGCCTGGCGGAGGCAGAGCTGGGCAGAGCTGGCAACGAGTGAACGGAAACAGTGACGGCAGGAATCCAGTGACTTTGGAGAAGCAGCTGGATGAATTGCAAACGCTATTTTGTCCCCCGTTGCATAAGGAGACGTACTTAGCCTTTGTGGCTTTGGTTTGCCATTAGCTAACAAATCCCCATGGCCAGGAATAACTCTTTGCATGTTTAAACCAGTGGCCATTTCTTTGGCAGACTGAGTTTGGCATCCATCATCCTTTCTGAAGAGGACATGGAGCTACTCTTAATATTAGCCTGCCAACTTAAATTGGCAGAGAAGCCCATCAGCTTGTGCCAGGGAGATGGGAGAGAAGGTTGCAAACCTGACTTGATGATACCTGGGCTTCTGGGAGAGAGTGTGAAGGCTTGGGTTTGACTCACAGAGTCATGGGGCCCATGGCTGTTCTGCTTCAGGCATAGTTCAACGTCCTCTTTTCACGTTGGACATCCAGTGTGGTCTCGTTGGATCTTCCTCAATGACAGGAAAACCAGGAGAAAGGGATAGGAGAGGCAGGAGGGTTGGTAGTGGTTGGCAGCCTGGTGTTCCCTGTGGGGCCATTCAGTTTTGCAATGAACCTCTTGGATTCTTGACAGGTCAGGCCTGTTGACCCTTCTGGGCACGCTATGGTGAGTGTTTAGTTATTTACTAAAGCCTTTTGAAGCGAAAGTGGCTTGATGGGGTCTGAGGCTTTTGTGTTAGGGAGAGTTGTGTGAGAATCTTTGCTGGGGTTAGCCATTAGCTGATTGTTTAATTATTTGGCTCTGTAACTAAGTAACTAAATGCCTTGAGCCTTAAGATAAGCAGCTCTTTGTTAACATTGTAATAAATGGAGACAAATAATAATAATTTAAAACCTAAGGAAGTAGCAATCTCTCGTTTCAGTGACCGAATCTTGAACAGAAGCATGGTTTGGAATATAATTGCGTATCTCGCAATAATCTGGAACAGATCATTCAGGATGTCCCCAGTCCTCTATTGTGGTCATGGTTCTTATACAAATGTTATTTACACCCATTTGACGGCTGGGTGGCATAAACCATGCTGGGAGACTGTATGAGCAGGCAAAGAAAAAGTTCCCATCTGTTTATTTAACAGCAGCTTGGTTTTCCATGGCCGTATTGTTCCGTAGCTCCACCTGTGAAGTTTCAATACGCTGTGTGCACCACTATTGCAAATAGGGATGTAGGTGAGAGCAGACAATGGCAGAATCAACGGGCCCTCCCTTGTCCCCCAGTGTTTAAGGACACTGCCAGAAGTTTTGCATGTGCCTTTTTTACTTGTTTGCTTTTTAAGGGGTGAGAGACAGGTGTTCGTCACCTCAGGTAATGCACCTTTGCAGTAGGAACTAATGCCACAATCACAGGATTTGCAGGAGAACTTGCTTAGAAAGGAATCCTGTGCCACCTTCCTGCGGCCGTGCGGAGCTCGCCCAGCAGATTTACAGGCTGGCGGTGGTGGCTGAAGGACACTGTTTCCAGGCAGTTTCTGAGAGGGCTGGAAGAGCAGGGATGTGATGTCAGATCACCAAGCCTTGCTTGGTTCTGCAGGGCCATCTTCTCCCATCTAGCTATTTCAATAAGGGAAAATGCAGGAGGATGCTGCTGAAAACGTCAGAGGACGGGTACAGGCGATGGCTGAGCAAACTTGCAGCCTTGTTTCTTTGCTATGCTCAAAAGAGTTGAAGCAAGATAAAGAATCCTGATGTCAGCCTCAGGAGAACCATCGATTTGGTGGTATAGCCTGTGTATGAGTTCAGAATTCGTCCCTAAACTTCAGAGGGGTGTAAAAAATCCTTCTGCAGGGTCCTGGAGAGGGAGTTACCTTTGCAGCGTGGATTGTTTATGTGCTGCCGGGAATTTTTTAACAGTATAAACTAGGTGCTTTTCTCAGTGAAGTTGTTGGGCGGACTCATGTCTCAGAATCCCACCTGTTCTCTGTTTGCTTTTGGGCACCATTTCAAACCCACACTGGGAAAAGTTTATAGGCAAACATTATAAAAAGTGACAGTCTTAAGTGCTGCTACATTCTCGTTTGGCAACACAAAGGCTTACCTGAAATAACTCACTATTTCCAAGCATGACTTCATTATTTCATGACAACACTTTGTGCTGTATCTTCCCTGATGCTCTAGAGAGAAAGAAATGGAGAAAGATAATATTTACCAAATGCTAATACCTATTTGAAACTTGCTTTTCTTCTGTTTGCTAGTAATTTTCCATGTAAAAGTAATGTTTTTTTTTATTTTGAAATAAATTTCTGTTCTTGGGTTTGGATTTGTGTTGAAAGACTCAGTGCAAATTTGGAATGGTAGTTTAAAAAGAGATGAAATCAAGGATGGAAGGTAGAAAACAACTGATCCACCCAGGAGGATGCTGCAACTTGTGTGACGAGTTCCCTGGGGCTCTTCAGCAAAAGCTGCTAATGCACTTAAGAGGTTTGAGTGATCTTTACCCATGGTGGCTTTTAAAAAGCTTAAACAAAGACATTTTTAAAGACTCCTGTACGTTGTTGGCACAGCGTAAAATCTGAAAGAAATTTTCTTTGCAAGTAGTGTTACAAAGAAGCTTAAAAACTTCAAAGTACACTAGCTAGCTTTTTTTTTTGACAGTTGAATCTGAATTAAAAAAAAAACCCAAACCTCAAATATATTCAAATATACTCGTTACTTATATGAAATATATGTGGAAAGGAGCCCGTGCTCCTGGAAATTGGATTTCTAACAGCATAGTGTATTATTCAGTGAAACACTTGCATTTCAGATCTGTGGATTCTTGACTGTATCAGCAACCTATCAGAATTATAAGGAGTATAAAGCTGTATTGTAGCTTGTCCTAGACTTTGAGATGGAACTTTGCACACTACAAAGTTTATACTTTGTTATAAAATCTAAATCCAAGAATATTTACTGTCTCTATAATTGGTCTTGGTTAAATGGTTTTATCTCCTTCTCCTTTATGTCTTGGTGTGATGCACGTGTAAAATCTGTTGTGTGAAAAACCATGTTTGCCCTAGGGAAAAAGCTAGGAGAAGCTTTGCGAGGCCACATCCCTGGATCTGTTCTCCCTTCGCTTCAGGCAGACTCCCACTGAACTCCCCAAATTCACATGATTCCAGGCTGAGTGGGAGGAGAAGTTGGGCAGGCTATTTTCAAGTGCATCAGTGTCACCCAGTATTTGAATGCACGAGTGTCCCACTGGGGTGGTCACTTCTGGTACCCATAGAGTCATAGACTGTCTTGAGTTGGAAGGAACCCATAAGGCTCACCGAGTCCCACCCCCTGTGCCTCACAGGACTACCTACAACTGAACTACTGACAGAGCTCAAGCGTTTCCAAGCTGCCATCCAAGGGCTGGTTCAGGTGTAACACTTGTTTCAGGCTTCTCTGAAGGTGTGATACAAAAATGTCAATGCCCCAGGGATGAGGAACATGGGTTTCAGGGTTTTGGTATTCTTGGAAGCAAGGGTGGACACCGAGGAGTCACCGATTTTAATATTCCCTCGGGCTCCCAGCCAAACAGAAGGAGGTGCGTGCGTTATTTAGCTATGAGCACAGCTGGCGTCTGCGCGGGAAGGACGGGTGCACGCCGGGAGCAGCTCCCTGCGACGTGACCCTCCTCGTCCGCAAACACAGGATGCCTTCACGCTGCTTTCCCTTATTTACTTTTCATGCTGGCCTTGGCGAGGCCGGGAGGCTCATGGGAGAGGGATGCTGTGGTGTGGAGAGGGATAAACCAGCTACAAAAGCAGTCCCTGTGTCTGGCACAGCCCGAGTGTGTCCGAGGTGTGGTGTGGGGTCCCCCACTCTGTTCCCAGCTGTCCCAGTGGAGTCTGTCGCGAGTGCCCAGGGCTGCGGTTCCCTTTCCCCTGCTGAGAATCAACCCTGGAAGGGGGTGATGAAGACCTAGGAAATATAGGCAGATGTGGTTTTCGAAGGATTTTGCTTGTTTTTTTGAAAAAGAATGTGGTTTGACATTCTTCTTGTTATTTGGTTACAAAAGGGAACGGATGGATGAGCTGTTTAGTTTTGAACTTCTGCATATGCTGTGATTTTGTAAGCTTTGCTTGTGTTCCTGGGTTTCTGCTGTGTTCTGGTCAGGAGAGGCTCTGAACTAAGAAGTGAAGCAAAAATAAATTAAAGGAAAAAGTTACTGTCGCTGGGAGCGGAGTTGGCAGTGAAGACAAGTATGGAGACTCTGGGAAGGGTGCAGGGAGAAAAATAAAGAACATCATATATGCTGTGTATAGGAACTAATGTTTGTTAGTTTAACTAAGTGAAGGGGGTTTTGTCTGTCCTTTTCTTCCAACACAGCTCTCCAGCTTTATTTTAAAAAAGCAACTTACAAAATCAGATGGGGAACAATAAATATTTGTTTGAATCATAAACACAAATGCTGATCTATAAAACTGAGTTTGCTTTTTGACATCCTCCTGGCACCTCGAAATTCTTTGAAACCCCGTGCTCAGAAGGACTCATCTCGCTGGTCACAGGGAGCCAACTCTGGGGAGAAGGGTCGTGGCTTGGCGTGGCGCTTGGGACAAGGCACGTGCCGAGACACTGATCGAAAGGGAATGAGCTTTCTTTGTGGTTAACTTCCTGAAAATAAAGCCTATCCCATACCTGCCTATGGTTCAGTTTTAGGAGACCGATTGCTGGGCTAATCTGGATGAAACTTTTTTTATTGAAGATAACTTGATTTCTATGGATGAAAAGGGCCTTCACTGACTTTTGTTGGAAATTCTCTCCTTTCCCTTCTCTTTCTTCTTTTTTCCTCCTTTCCTTCCACCTTCGCAGAGCCGCCAACCAAATACCAAATCTCTCAGCCAGATGTATATTCAGCACTTCCAGGAGAACCGCTTGAGTTGCGCTGTCAATTGAAAGACGCCGTCATGATCAGTTGGACTAAGGATGGGGTCCCTTTGGGGCCCGACAATAGGACAGTGATTATTGGGGAGTACTTACAAATTAAGGATGCTACACCCAGAGATTCGGGCCTCTATGCTTGCACTGCTGTTAGGACCCTAGACAGTGATACTCTGTACTTCATTGTAAATGTTACAGGTGAGTTAAACATAGGTTTTTGCATGTAGAAGCTGTAAAATGTGATACAAAGACACATTATGATATAATGTGAAACAGCCCGCTCTGGTACAGCGAGTTGAGCTGAGTTCTGTAGTTATTTTGGGTGTTTTCCCGCTTCTCCTGACCCTGAATAGACTCAGTTTGTATATACTCCTTTTACATCATGGGATCTGTAGCAATTAACAGCTGCTGAATAGTCCTCTGTTTTATGCCACTATGACAGCATTAAATTATACAGGGTCGCTGCAATGATGATAAAGCCAGTAAAATGAACACAAGGTGTTTTCCCCCCCCACCCCCTCACCTGCATCAGAATAGGAAAAGTGGTATCCTACATCCTTTAAGTTTAGAGATAAATTGTTGTGGAGACACTCAGTTGTACTCAACTGAATGTCTAAGAAAAATAAAAATTGTAAGTGGAAAGAGATTTTTTTTTTTTTTTGGAGTTGGCAAGCTCCCTTTTGAAAACTTTGTAGCATTTCAGGACTATTAGCTAGTTTTCATAGTTTTCTAAGAGTAACACACATTTTGGGGCTGGATTTTCTTTTTCTATAGCTTCTGCACAACTAACATAACATCTGTTCTCCTTGATAGAAGATCTAAGATGTAGCATATTGGTTGATTTTTTTTCTGCAGAATAGGCTGGTTTAAAGACTTGATTATTTTTAATGTGCAGATGCTCTTTCCTCTGGGGATGATGAAGACGACAATGATGGGTCTGAGGACTTTGTGAATGACAGCAACCAGATGAGTAAGTAACAGCGAACAGCCAGAAGTCACTAGCAAGATCCACGTGGAAAATAATGTCCCGTCTTTCGCACTCCTGCCTTCAGAGCTTCTTAATTGTTAATTGCATGGGTTGTCAAACAGTGGTGTCTTTGTCCTTTTCCATTTTCTGTTTCCTACAGTTCGTAACTTGGAAAAGAAAAATAAACTAATATTCTTCTAAACACTCTTTACTGGTCTGTACTTTCTTTCTCCCTTCTTGCTAGCTCTTCTGCAGTCTTCTTTCTTCCTACACTGCGGTTCAGTCTTTGTCTGGTTTAGACTTGCAGATGAACTAACTTTCCTTGAACCTGAGCTGAAATCTGAAAGAAGAAACAAAGATCCAGCTCACTTTGTTAAAAAGTGGTACGGAAACTTTAAAATTAAGTTGTAATGAGGCAAATCCTTCAATCCTTAATCTTGGCAGAAATCTCTCCAGGGAGAATGAATTTGGAGACAATGAGGTTCTTTTGTCTGCAAGGGACCTCAAGGTTTTTCGCAAAGAAAGCAGTCCAGCACTAAAACCACATTTTATGTTACTCATGCATGATGAAAATGGGCTAAAAGAGTCTTAAAACTATCAGAATGTTAAACTTCAGTCCCTTTAGAGAATTTAGAAAGCTATTAATAGGCTCTAAATAGAGCAGTTTCTAAGAAAAAAAAAAAAGTGAAATTCATATTGGTTCCTTATGCCCCTGTGCACTGTTGCGAAATCCCCGTGGTCACTGCTAGTTTGCTATCGCTCGTGCTCCGTAAAGTCAGTAACAGGCAGAACACAGAAATCCTTCATGGGAGACGTCAGCTGGTTACCCAACGCAGTAGCCAGGTAGTGTCTTTACTCCTCAGCCCAATTAGTAATTGGCAGTTATACTGGATGCTCGAAACACTTGTTCGCATGATCAAGTACGAGCCTGACTTCAGCTCCCCTAGTTAGTCACTGTTGTATACGACTGCCCCAGTCTGAAGCTGTGAAACATTAGATGCTATTTAAAATGATAGAAGTTCTTCGCTGCCTGTTTGGCCCCTGCCATCTGTTAGTGTGATTAACCCGCTCTGATTCACAGGTGCAGCTTGAAGTGGCTGAGGTTAAGCAGCTGGAGGCTGCTCTGACAAAGGAATGCGGTGGCAAAGATAATTGGCAAGTTTGGAAAAGGGACACTGCTTTTAAAAGAAGTTGTCTAGGCGAAACCCACCAAACCAGGCAGTGTTGGCGTTCCCCTGAAAAGGACTCGTGGGTAGAAATTGCTTTTAGGAAACATCCCTATGTTACCACGTTAGAGCTTTGTTGGTGTTGGTGAGAAAAGGGCTTGCAGTGTTTTCGGTGTGCTAGCAGTGTGCTTCTAGTCTGTCCTGATGGCCTTGGTGGTTTGTTGTGAGCACAAACTTTGGAAGTGCATGTAGCCAAGGGCAAAAAACAGAAAAGGACCTGATCTCGAGGCAACTGTACTCTGTAATGTTGATTCCTGCCCTTGCACACAACAGTGAGAACTACCCAGTGGTGTCCTCTGTAACACTAGTGATGTTCGTGTAACATGAGCGATCATTTTAAGCTACTGCTCATCAATCTTGATTCAGGAGCTGGTGAAAGGCCATTGACAATTTCCGTCTGCCAGGGACAGGGTGTGTGCTTCATCTGGGGTCAGTCACACTTTCCCTGCTCAAACTGAAAGATGCCTCTAGAGCGTGAACATCTAAACGGATGGCGGGGAGAGCACAAACCCTCTCAGCGTAAAAGGGGGAAACTGCAAGAAGATAGATTGCTCCTGAGCAGAGCATTGCACAGGCAAATCCCCATGGGATTGCTTTTTGCAAGGTGCCCGCAAACTGCTGGGGCTTCTCTTGCGAGCTGCAGATGAGCCAGGGAGCAGCGCAGCCTTCCTCCCCGTTCCTGAGTGCTCGGCGGGAAGGGCTGCAGCCGGATGATGGTGGCACCGCATCCCTGCAAGCCGTCTGTTTTCAATGAAAAGTTGCATCATGGTAACTCAGTTGGATTAATGCAATGCTGCTGAAAGAGGGTTGTGATTTGGCAAGATCAGAGCTGTATGAAAGTTAGGGGTGGGACTGGGTTTGCTTTTGCAAACCACTGAAGCTTGCGTATCTAGTGTCTTCTAAGCCTTCCCATCAGCATTCTTCTGGATTTTTATATTGTGTCCTAAAGGCCACATCTAATTTAAGATCATGGAATCTTTTAGTTTGGAAAAGACCTTCAAGATCATCAAGTCCAACCGATAACCCAGCACTGTGGCAGCCAGCACTAAACCATGTCCCTCAGCACCACATCTATGCATCTTTTCAGTGCCTTGAGGGATGGTGACTCCACCACCTCCCTGGGAAGCCCCTTCCAATGCCTGACAGCCCTTTCCAGGAAGACATTTTCCCTAATATCCAATCTAAACCTCCACTGGCACAACTTGAGGCTGTTTCCTCTTGTCCTATTGCTTGTCACCTGGGAGAAGAGACCGCACACCACCCTTCTCTGCACCCTCCTTTCAGGGAGTTGTAGGGAGTGATAGCCTCCAACTGAGCCTCCTCTTCTCCAGGCTGAACCCCCCCAGCTCCCTCAGCTGCTCCTCACAGGACTTGTGCTCCAGACCCTGCCCCAGCTCCGTTCCCTTCTCCAGACATGCTCTAGCCCCTCAGGGTCTTTCTTCCAGTGAAGGGCCCCAAATTGACCCCAGGATTCAAGGTGCAAGACACAATATTTTTGCAAGGCAGATTGAAAAGCGAATGAGGAGTTGAGGGTTAGTCTCGTTCCGCCCTGAACGTGGATGTGGCAGGAGTGGTGTGCAATGGCCAAATGCCTGCTACCACCTTCTGCCTGCATCAGGCAGACCCTGGGCAAGTCCAGGATCTCTCGAGAGTCCCTGGTTGCTGCTCTTTAAGAGAAGTCGTTGAGCGTTTCCTGAATCATGGTTTGAGATTTGCAGATCTAAAACAATTTGACTGATAATTTACATACAAATTACAGCTGCCATCATTAAGGATAAGCAATGGAAGTTGGTCTGGCTATGCCTTTACTGATGGAAACAAAAGGCCATAGTCTTCAAAGGTTGTTCCTTTTTTGATGAAACAATTCTGATAAAGTCCAGCTGTCCTGGCATGTTAATTATGATGTGATGAGGCAGGAAATGGCTGTAGTGCCTTCCACAGGAAGCTGAACCTTGGCATTCTCATTCTTGCATATTTAAAACTAAAGCAAACCTTTTAGAGCTGTTTTATTTACGATGATAAGTATTCTTTTCTGCTTTTTTATTTTCTTTGCCTCTGTTACAGATATATTTTTCAGAGGCCAGGGTTTTCAAGCACGGGCAGAGGGGCTGTTGAGGAAATCTAGTGTAATTTTTCAAGGCTGCCCAGAAAATCCAACTGCTCTGGAAGTCAGCGGAGGCTGTAAGTGCCTCTGTAGGCATGAGGAGCAACTCATTCTCGGGAGAGGAGGGCACTCATGTGTACACATGTGCATTTGACCATTTGCCCTGTGTGTATTTTTAAGTAAAAGGCATGCATAGCAGATTTCACTCTGCGTTTGGTGTCCTTTTAGCTTGACAGAGATTTTAAATGTCTGAAAAAACCACTGTGGTAGATTTGTTCCAGACTGCATCCTGAATAGCTTTTTATTACTTCCAGCTTTTGTTGAAGGGATTAGTGCTTGTGGGGAAGGTGCAGGATTGGTTCCACTGCAAAATAGTCCCCCTCTTGCCACAAAATGGCTTTGTTGGCAACTCAGTTTTTCCCTTTGTTGCCCTGAAGTGGTGCCCTAGCTTGGTTCTGGAGGGCCACCTCCCAGGATGTTGATGGGAACTTCCATTTACAAAGCTAAGGGCTGATCGTCCGTTCCTACTGACAGCAGTGGAGATTACGTTGTTGGTACTTTGCCTTGTCCTCATCACGATTTTGAGAGGTAGCCCTAATTTAAGGGATTTCTATAATCCTGACTTGGTGCTGGCAAGGCAGCAGCTGTCGTGATGTTTGCATTGAGGTCCACCAGCAGTTATTTAGTCTGGAGACCCCTGGGTAGCCCCGAAGATGCTGCTATTCTGCCTTGAATTCTAGTCGGGCGACTGGAAGCTTTATGACTTTTTTCCTTATCACCCTTTAAACAATTTTTTCTGGGCCAAGCAATGGTAAATTGGCACCAAGAACAAAAAGTATCTAAATGTAATCCACATGCTGTTCTTTTCATGCCTTGAAGAATTTCAGAAAGGATGAAACAAGGTTCAAATTCATCAGATCCTGTAGAGTGGAAACCCACTCAAGGGAGCAGTAAAAATTGGATGTTGCCTAGAAGTGTTTTTTAATTAAAGGTCAAATACAATAGTACTGAAAACCTCGTGGGGGGGTTGAGGTAGTCATTTCAGGTGCACCATTGCCTGCTCGAGGTGCTTGTCAGGCATGCTTGGAGTTGCCTACTTTTGTGTTTCTTTGTATCAGATAAATCCAAATAAAAATTGAGGCGTCCTGTAGTGAAGTGGTCCCCTGGGCTGCCTAATTTCAATTTCACATGCAGGAGATTTGCCTGATTAGATGTAATATATTTGCAGTAGAGTGCAGTGTGGGTCAGCAGGGTATTTTCTTCACTAATGAGAGCTCTAAAAGCAATCAGGAATTCCCACCCGTTCCCCTGCTGCTTGTTAACCACTGCGTGCCAGAGTCTTCCCGGTCGTTACTGGGAATCTTCAACAGTGGTGCTACCTACTTCCACCTGTCTCGTGAGCAGTGATGCGATGGACACGGAATGTGATGGTATACATTTGCTAACTACACTTGTTGTTGGTTTTAGTGAATCTGGATGTTTTTCCTCTCAAACAGACCAGTAAAAGGTGCTTTCATGTAATCGATAAAGAGAAATGCTGTGGGTTAGTTGGATCAGTCGCTGTATGAAAGCACAAAATGAGGGTGAGCGTTACAGTCTGTGGATGTTGTTGCCTTTTTCTCTTTTCCCTTAAAAACGCTGAGGAGCTGCCAACATACGTTGCTACTACCTAGTGAAAAATGTTAGGGTGTCCTGAAGTGTTTTCAGGCGTTGTTTTCGACATGTGATGTCTGCATGTTTTTCTCCAAGCTGTCCTGTAATTCGGGACCATTGCAGGTCATGCCGAGGGTTGTGCGAGGGGAAGCTTTCCAAGCTGTCCTTTCTCTCAGCCCAGGGGGTTTCCTTTCCCACTCTCTCTGTGACCCAGAACTGAGCTTTTCTTTGTTCCTGCCTGCATCCTCCTGGCCTCTTCTCTGCTCCCACCTCGTCCATAGAGGAAAGCTTTTCCTACCTGTGCATTTGTTGTATATCGGTATCAGTCTTACCGTAGCACTTCTCTTCTAGGAGAAGGGTTTTTTAAGGGTAGGAGTTGATGGAAAGGGAGGTTACGTGCAGGAAAACAAGAGGATGAGCTGCACTATAATATAGTAGAAACCAGGCTGCATGAAGCAACCTTGTTTTGGGGAACTGTTGGTGGCTGGATTCTGACCCACGTGGATGCCCTGGTCCTGGGCTGCTTCCTGGTGGGAGCTTCTCCAGGGCTGGGTCCATCCAGCTGTGAGCTGTGGAGGCTGTGCTTGCCAGCGACTGCATCCAAGCTTTTTATGCTCTATACGTGTGAGAAGGCGCATGTGATGGACGCGGTGAGAAGTGACTGCACAGGCTGCAAAGTTACTGGGTTGGCATTGCTTGTTTGGGGTCAAATATAGGCATTCTGCTCTGAGATACCAATATGACTGTTCTGGGTGGTTGGTTGGCTTTGACCTGCCACAGTTTACTTTGACTTTGTGAACATTGTGGGTAGGGCCCAGGAGTGGTCCCCTTACATTTCCTTGTGGAAGATGTTCAGCAGTCTAGAGAAAATGTCCTTTAAATATATCAGTACCAGCATGTACTTCCACCTTTGCCTGGTATACTTCTGATGTAATTTGGTATTTGCGTGGAGTAATTAATTCCTTTGGTTGGCTCTGTGTAAAGTCATCCTGGTTTTAGCAAATAACGTTAACAGTGATTTTCCTTGCATCTCTAATTCGTTTTGCTCTGTGTAACAATTTCTTAGTGTTGCAGTTAAATTTTCAATACTTGCCTGATTTTCTATTTTGATTACATGGACAAATTTGCTTTGCTTTTCTACTTCATTAATTTTAACACTAATTGCCACTTCGGGCAAAAAAAAAATCACTTATCGTTCTTAGCATCATTATAAGGCTTGAATGTTTTCTTTATACTGAGAGACGTTGTTAAAGGATTTATTCTTGTATTTTCTATCCAGCTGTATTTTTATTTAGGGAGGGGGGTAGCCGGACTTCTGAGTTTGCACTGATTGTAAGAACTGCTATAAATATTTGAGGAACGGAAGAGTTTATTTATAGTGGAGTGTTAGGCTGCTAATGAAGGAAATGAAACAGGGCTGAGAGAAACAGAGTTATTTTTCTGGACCCCTCTAGTCCTAAAAATTCCACACTAATCTGATTTGCTTCAGGAAAACTCCATTGTAAAAGAAATTAATGTTTCCTCCTATTAAATAGATCTTGAATCTTTAACTTTTTAAAAGCTGTTATGGTGAGGCAACTGACACGATGCCATGAAGACGCTGTGCAATGTAGCCAAAGTGGTGCATGGATCCTGAGCGTGGGATATCCTTGTATATGGATCTGGCTATCCAAATTTACTTCTTGGAGGATAAAAACAGATGTGTAGTTGTATGTTTTGTTCTACTGTGTTTTCTGTACTGGTACGTGATAAATGACTGAGGACCTGGATGAGACGGGGGAGGTTTCCGTGCGCTTCCCATGCTCCTTGTGTGACCACAGGCAGGGCCAGGGCATGGCAAGGATAAGTGAGAGCCTTGTCTGGAGCAGCTAAAAGTGATCACTTCAGCAAATACTGGCTGAGAGGAACTCTCTTTTTATGTCACAGTGTTGGACGTCACTGAACGTGTGGGCTTTGACAGGCTCATGAGAGTGGGAAATCTCTGCAGAATGATAAATGCTGTTGCTGAGCTTTGATCCACATTTACTTATTCAGTTTCTTTCTCTTTGGTTAAGATTTTAGAAGTATATTCCATTTGTAAATATATTCTAGTGGTTTGTATGACAGTAACAGCACAGTTGACCTTGCCATCGTACACTGTAAGCTTTAGCATGCTGCCAGGCAGGTAGGTATGTTTATCCCCCTTCTAACAGATGCAGAAAGGTTAAAGCTGATGCTTCCAGCAGCTCTTCTGACTTGGTCTGTCTGGCTTCACAGCGAGGTCCACAAATTCAAAGTTGCTGAGCACTCACAGTGACTCAACTCGGGGTCAAAAGCGTCTGATCATTTGAATCCATTGAAAACTCTATCCCTCTGTCTTACTTGACGTGCACAAAACAAAGGATATCTGTGGTTAATTATTGGAATTTTGTCATAAATTATATACTCAAAGCTGCAGACTGAGCCGTTGGCAAAACTCTGGTCAACACTTGCGACATACAATTTCCAGTCGCGAACTCTTTCTAAACCACGTTTAAAATGAATACGTGCAGTGTATGTCTGTGGAAGGGGCTGGAAAGGGAGCTCGGTTTCCAAGTGCTGATGTTTCTGGATGTCTCCTTTTGAAACAGGGGCACCTTATTGGACACATACGGACAAAATGGAGAAGAGGCTGCACGCGGTGCCAGCAGCAAATACCGTCAAGTTCCGTTGTCCGGCGATGGGAAACCCAACACCAACCATGAGATGGCTGAAAAATTTTTTTGAAAGAGTTTAAACAAGAGCATCGTATTGGCGGATATAAGGTATGTTCTCATGATGTGATTTTGCAATTTCTGTTCTTGACCAAGGCTGTTATAACAAAAAAAAAAAAACCAAAAACAAAACCAAAACAAAACGAACAAAAAAACCCAAACCAAAACCAACAAAATACCCAGCCCAGAAACTTGCTGAAGTCAACAGAAAATCTTTTAATGGCCTTGGATCAAATGTAGAAGCAAAAAAAAAAAAAAAAAAAAAAAAGAGTAATTGTTTTCTTCTGGGTAAGGGTGGGTGGTTTCTTTGGTGGTTACTGAGCACTAATTCAGTTTTTTATTTTTTTCCTCAAATTCAAGCCTGTAGCATAGCAGTACGTCTAAGGATTATTTATAGAGACTTATTTGGAAAACTAAAGAGTGATTTTGCAGAGCAGAGTAAGACTATTTTGCTCTATTCATTTTCAGATGTATTGTTAAAAAACATGACCATCCGCTCTGGTGATTGTAGGCAGTTTAATAAAGGAAGGGTTGGAAGTTAAAAGTTATTATTTTCTGTAGAGTTTATGGTCTGTGAAACTGAAATGGGAAGCAGAATTTGAGGGAAAGGAACAGCAATTACTTACAAGGGTTTGTTTGAATTTTAAACAGCTTCAGATTAGATGTTTTATTCCAAATTGGTGGTTACTGATTAAGAGAGAGTTTTAGGGAGGCCAGCTAGTGCGGTGGGTTTGTGCACGGACCTTTAGCCTCCTGGTATCTTCCTAGGTCAGGTCAGAAGTCAGTTTTCGGTCACCTTATCCTGCTCCTCACAGGGAATTGGAGTGCGTGACTTTGATGGCAAATTGCTGTTCAAGCACTGCCCTTGCCATCCTGCCCCGCATTTCGGAGTTACCGTAACCTCCTTGTTGGACCTTCTGTGGGTGGATCCTCATGTACCCGATACCTCAGCAACTTCTCTCCAAAGATGAGAAGTTTCTGAGCTAGTCACGTCGTGTCACAGTTGTCAGCTCCAGCCTACAACTTCTGCTGAGGAGCTCAGAGCGATTTGTAATGGTGATTAAGACAGAAGTTAACAGACTTTTCCAGACGATGCAGTAAGCTCAAGACGGAGTCCTAGGGTCTGCCTGCCCCGGTACCGCACCGCTGCCTTGCCCCAGTGATTGCCGTATTTTTGGGGTGCCCCGTTTTGCGATGCCCTGATGGAGTGAGGGTGTATATTGCTTCGTGTTCTGTTGACTCAGACCCTACTTGGTACAAAAAAATATGTTTTCCAGTGCAGAGGAGGACAAGCTGTAGTCTCCTTTCCTCTCTAGCTAGATTTACTGTACAAAGTGTCAATTTTTCCAACGTTTGTGTTAGCAGAGAGTGAAGCCCAGAAAATCTCCCTGCATGAACGCTAATTATCTAAGTAGACTTTTCCATCTATGTTTGCTTACACCATAAATTACTGTTGCTTATGAGTGTACACCTGGCAGCACCTTCTGCCTTTCATAATGCTATGGAGTGTTAACGAATTGGCCACAGTTCAGTGATTTTCACCTTTCTCAGTGCTTTTTTTTAAAAACAAAAAAAAGCGCCAGTTAATAAAAACCCCAAACTAATCCTGTCTTGGAAAATAAAAGTAACTGTTTCGGTACTGAGACATTATTTTAAGACTTTCCATCTTATGAAGGGGAAATCAAGATACCACTCTTGAAAGCCACGGCGGAAAATGCGTGTCTTGCAAGGCAGGATGGAGATACCTGATGTTTGGGTTTGGGAGGGAGATCTTTGGCGGGGTAAATCAGCCCACATGCGGCCCTGTACTGCCACTACTAGCTTGTGTAAGGGGTCTGGGTGAGCTCATTGAGACTTGTGCCCATTAAGTGGCACAAATTAAGTTTTTGGTCATGTGTTTTAAACACCTACAATTTCCTAGGTATGTATGTACTCTGGTAAGAAACCACAGATGCCTGTTTCTAAAGCCAGCTGGATAAGTGAAGTATATACCTATAATTCTAAACCATAACTTCTTTCATCTCTTTAAGGGAAAAAAAAAAAAAAAAAGAGGGGACACAGCTGTGGATTTCAGGCTTTCTTGTTGTTCAGAAATACATCACATTTTAAATGATCTGGTAGCATTAGGCTTCTCAGTGCCATTTTGCTTACCAAATCCAGGCATATTGTAGATTCTGTCGGTGTTTTACATAGCCACCTCTTTAAGATGGAATCTTGTTTTCAGTGAATTGAGTGTTAAAGAATGAGGCCTCTGGAGCTTGTGGAGGCTGTGTCCTCTTCTTGTAACAGAGGCAGGATGGAGGTCACTGTGGACTTACTCAAAATTATTCTGGAATAAAGAGGGAATTGTATTTTCTTGATACCTCTGACAAACTTGTAATGAAGGAATCCTCAGAAAGGACTGAGTCTTTCCATGCTGGTCTGTGCTCAGCCAGATATTAGAGGAACTCATGATAATTCTTGTATGCTAGCTTGTCTTGAACCTGAGCTTTGCTGTTTGTGTAACATTTTTGCTGGAGATCTTCATATTCATAATCCTTTGGGCAAGTAGAGTAGCTGGAACCAAACTTGGCCGAATCTGCCATCACCAGTTGATGTAGCACCATCCATCCCTTTCGGAAGAGGCAATCATCCCTTGAAGACTTTAGGAACAAAGTAAAGGGAAGGAAAATGTGAGATTTCCAGTAATCCTCCATCCACCCCTCTCCTGCTGCCTTGAGCTAAGAAATCTCTTCTTTGTATTCCCATTATCGCAATCAGATAGTGACCTGTAACACTTTGTCCCTCTGACTGGGGAATGTCTTAAGTCAATTTGCACTCAAGACAGGCTAGCAGGAGGGTGTATGTGCTGGCCAAGATAGCTTCCAGAGCGAAATTCCTCCACCGTGACTAATTCTGGGCGGTGAATTTCAAAATCAAACCTTTTATGATTTTTCAAGGTATGCACAAACTTCCTACAGCAAGGAGAGAAAGGGATCAGTTATTGAACATCTAAATCCTTTTCAGTATTTTTGTTTTAATCAGTCTCTAAAGTGACTGATTAGCTCTTGGTTGTGCATTTAAAGGCATTTTATATGTTCTTTGAGTGAATAATCTCTATCCTCTACGAGACACCACTGGAGCCTTTACTTTTCTGTACACCACCCAGAAAGCAAATGTACTTCTATCAGTTGGTACTGTTTAAGTATTAACAAGTGCGTGTTTTCACCCATGCATTTTGATAAGCTTCATCACTACAGACGTCTTATACACATTTAAATTCAGCCAGGTAAATACAAGGTAAAGAAAGATTTCTGCCCATATGGGAAGCGTAAAGCCTGTGACTTTTGTATGGATAGTCTGCACTTGTTCTCTCTGCCTGAGCAGTACCAGTAGATGTCTGACCTGTGCTGATTTTGTAGGGAATCATATTTTGGTTTGTAATTCTTCTTTCTTTTGAAGTTCACTTAAAATTGACTCCGTTTTACCTTTTTTTTTTTTCTTGAGTGATAGCTTTTCATGATATATCTGTTCACTGAAGACATGTATTTTAAAATTAAATGCAATTTTTTAATACGATAGTCCAAAAGCAAAATGTTTGTATGAAACATTCCTTGCCCTCTCCTAGATTTCTGACTAATATTTCTTGGCAGTTCGATTCCAGTTGAGGTTTCCCACCTCTGAGCTATATCTTAAGCGTACAGTTGTAAACATTTGATATTGATAATTTAGTTTGAAAAATTAATTGTTTGGAGAGACTGTTTGGAAGAATTTGTTAAAAAATTGATGGAGAAGGTGGCCAAAAAAACCCCACATTAGTAATTTGCTGGAAGTGTCCATGCCTGGTCAGGAAGAAAAAAGCATGTTAAGATTATATTTATTATTTCAATAAATTACCATTTGTTGGTATGAAGCACAGATAAAATATGAAAATAGGTATTGCAAAGCAATTAAAAAAACCCCAAAACCAGGAAGAGGGCAAAAGCAGGTATTAAACTGTGTTGACAAAGTATCTGAAGGGTTGAGCTGTGATTGGAAATACTTGGAATGTGGTTGTTCCCTGAATTTCCTTATGTCAAGAAAAGGCAATGACAGATTGGAAGGGGTTCCCTGAAGACCAGGTGATGGAGTGGGTGGGCGTTCTCCGGGATTTTGAAAGAACTTAACATGAAGTAGGGCTTCAGGGAACAAAATAGGAGAAATAAGAGGATCGTAGCTGGCAAGGAGCTAGCCAGGTTGGAGAGCTGGAAGAGTTTCCCACAACTGATGTCTGACTGTGGACACTTGTCCTTTTCCGGACTCCATCGCCTGGTGAAGATGCTCCAGCTTTCAGCCGCTTTTTGTTGCCCTCGTGTTTTTTCCTATTGGATTAGTTCACATGAGCTCCCTAATATGTCCTGTCTGCCAGATGAGCTCAAGTCATCTATGTAAACAGCTTAAAAAGACCCAGCTGATATTAGACAGGGAAACATATTAGGGAATATTTGGAGAGTGGTAGGAATGGTGTCTTCAGTTAGAAGGGCCCAAGTGAGCAACCAGGAGGGAGCTGATGGCTTTGAACTGCATTACAAAAGAGACCATCTACTTGCAACCGCAGTCACAAAGGTATGGGGTTGCTTTGGTTTGGTTTGGTTTTTTTTTTCCTCCAGAATGTTTTCCGTTTGTGTTGTGGTCCATCCGTATGCAGAAGCTGCCGTAAGAACTGTGTGCTGTGGGAGCATTGCTTTGAACCTCTTTTGAAACTGGCGTTTGCGTGTGATGTTGGTGCTGGATGTCAGTAACGGCACCACTTTTGCTGCCCAAAGACCGGCTTTACTGGGACTAGGTAGCGAAGGCAGGTAACTCAAAATGACCACGTTAACGACGCCCGTGCAATCAGGGTGTTGCAAACAGCGTGGCCGCAGGGACGTGCCACAACCGTAGCGTGCCTGAGAGTGAAAGGTTCAGTTTGGGAGCCTTCGGCAGGAGATACCGTCATCCCCAGCCAAGGGGAGTTTTTCTGGGCTTTGCAATGCTGCACTTGTCACCAGAAAGCACTAAGCCAGCAAGCTGAATCTAGTTGAATCCAGATCCGTGACATAAATCCAGTTGTGTGACGATGTGTCATAAATGCTTTGGGCCTCTGCAGCAGTTGTTTAGCTTAAACTGAAGAGGCTTAAGCTGTTGTTTTATTATAAAGATATTATCTCTTCTCGTTGGAGTTACAAGAAGGGAAATTGCACAAATATTTTTAATATTCCCATCCAGTGTATCCACTTGTGGCTGTAAGTTAGTGATGTTTTCTTATTGAATGCTAAACAATTTCTTGTGTTTTCCTATTGAATTAATTACTTACAGCTTGTTACAATTTTAATTTTGCTTTAACTTTTATGGAAACATGATCTGCTCTTCCTGTTTTGCAGTCAAATTGGTTAAAAATGCTTGCTCTGATTCGAAGAAGTGTGGTGTAATTTGTAATGGCAAAAAGTTCAGGTCACTTTGACCAACGCTCCCTCAAAATAGCTCACTAAAAAAGTAAAATACTCAAAATATGCAGCTGTTGTATTTGTCGTTTACCGATGGTTTATGACAGTAAACCCAAACTTTGATATTCAAGGTTGCTTAGCAGAATAACGAGACAATAAAATAACATTGATAAACTCTTTCTAGCTTTATAAACTCATTTCTTAGCTCTTCATAGTGTGGAAAAAATATAATCAATATATAGTTTCGATGTATGAAATGTCGCTGAACGGCCAATAAACTTTTCAGTTGTACTGCACTGAATTACTACTTTCCATTTGGCTGATTAAAATGACTGCACCGTGGGGCCATGGGGAGAGTAGCTGTAAATTTGGGCTGGAGATTTTGAGGTCGTGTCACACATTTCTGTGACATTAGGTTGGCATCCATGCCCTTCACCTGCTGTGGGAGTCTCATCTACATTTTCTTTGTTTTTCAAAGCCCACATGGCCAGTGTTTAGCTGATATTATTAGCCCATAACCTGGCAATAATAGTAATATCTAGCTAATGAGCTAATCACTAGCCTTGGGGACTAGGAAAGCCACAAGCCCCTTACAGAAAGGACTTCTTCCAGGCTTTGAACCGAAGGCATTTTTACCTCCAGCAAACGTGAGGGATGAGTCTTGGCACTGGGGATGCAGCCTTGCCTGCCTTTTCTGGCTGGAGAAGGACCTACAGAATAGTCAGGCATGAAGCAGGATTTCAGAGCTACAGTTGTAATGATCTTTTAAGAATGTAGAGTTACTGGAAATGTCACTGAATGACCAATAAATTTTTCTGTTGTACTGCACTAAATTACTGCTTTCCATTTGGCTGATTAAAATGACTGCACCAGGTTGTGTTTTATTCCATTTGCTAAAAATACGTACTTTGCAATTTAAAAGTTGTACATCACAGCTACGTAACGTTAAGATTTTTGAGCGCTTTGTCAAAAATGTAATGCTAAAAGAAGGGATTAGTGGATAGCCAGCAAAAGGTCGTTTTGTGAGCCAGCTTACGGTGCAGGAAATATATTTGTGTACCGGATGGCTCCATATCCTTCCAGTATTGGACCGGGTCCTGTTTTCTGCAAGACCAGTGCCAGCGTTCCTTTTGAGTTCAAATGGGAACAGAATCAGCACCTTTAATACATTCTGTCTGAGAAGGATTGTATGAAATAAATGTATATCCTTATGCTCGGTTTCCGTGAGGATTTTCTTCAGGCACTTCTCACGAGGCAGCATCTTCATTTCTTTCTTGTGGTACCCCGGAGCAGCAAGAGATGTGGCCACTCTGTGTGTCTGCGGGAGGGATCCCAAACCTTGCCCTTCTGTTTCTCCAAAACACGGGCTGTGTAATTGAGCTATTAGAGAAAGATGGAGACTTGGATGTTAGGGGGTCATATCCATCCCATATTGCTGGTGGGTAGTTAGTATCATTGGATGATGGTTTGGAGACGGATGGGAAATAGCCTGCGGGTGTGAATGTGCTTTGGAGTGGGTTGAGAGGTAAAGCCTGGCAAGACAACTGCTGCTGATGGGTGCCACCTTCGTAAGCCTGGTAGGGGCTGAGTGTTCACCGATGTCTGCAGCGCTCACATCAGGGATGAGGTGCATTTATAGCAGAATACATGAAAGCTTTCACTGCGGCAGCCGTGCTGGACCTGATCAGGAAGAAATAAAGTAGTTCAGGGCCCAGAACTGTCAAATGAGCACAGAAGAGGCTTTTAAAATGGATTATGAAAGGTTAACTATTCAGAAAGCAGTTCTGGAGGGGGAGAGGGTGAAGCTATGCTTTTGAAATTCACCACCTCTCTGTTTACAACCCGCCAGGTCCGTAACCAGCACTGGAGTCTCATCATGGAGAGCGTGGTCCCGTCCGACAAAGGGAATTACACGTGCATAGTGGAAAACCAGTACGGGTCCATCAACCACACGTACCATCTCGACGTTGTCGGTAAGTGAGACTCGGTCACATGTAAGGTGATGTTTTCAATTCATGAGTTTCTCTTAAAATCTTTAGAAGTAAGCTGATAACATTTTGCATTAATTAAAGATAACTTTATATATTCATCTGTCTCGCTCGTGCCTGTAGGACTAATCTACCCATGCCTTGGCAGAGGTGTAATATCCATGTGTGCAAATGAGCTTGTGTTGCTGTGACACGCCTACAAACTTACTGTGCAGAACGAATAATAAATACTGATGCAATTTTAATCACCAGTATTACAGTTTAATTATTACTTGTGCAATTGCACTAACAGATTTCAGTAACTGCAGTTATGAAAACGGTCAAGTGATCCTTTAGGTTGCTGTTGTTATAGCTGAAATTATTCTTTTTTTTTTTTTTTTTTTTTTAAATGAAAAGCTAGATACTGACCTGGGTGAAGCTAGTGCAGATCTGGAGCTTCCGGGAAGGTACTTTGCATTCCGAGCAGTAGAGCAGAGATCCAGCTGGAGCCTGTTGTATGGGCTCTGAGCAATCCCTGAAACACAGATGACACAAACTGTGAAGAAGTGTTTTACCTGAAGACAAATTCTAAAAAGCTGTGTGAATTCTTAGTAGTAGCAAAGCTGTGAT